GGGGGCAGAGGGGCGAGGAGGAAGGGGTTATCATAGGAAAGCAGGGTGTGGGACAGAAGGGGTGGGCATGTTCAAACTCGTAGCCGCAGAGGGCAATGCGGTGGAAGAAGACCGAACCGAATCCCACACCACCAGGCTCTCTAATGCTTGATTTACGATGCTGTTATGACCTGATTAGGGGGGCAGAGGGGCAAGGAGGAAAGGGGTTATCATAGGGGAAGGCAGGGTGGGGAAGAAGGCGTGGGCATGTTCAAACTCGTAGCCGCAGAGGGCAATGCGGTGGAAGAAGACCGAACCAAATCCCACACCACCAAGCCCTCCAACGTTCGCTGTGCCATGCTGCTATGGTCTGGATTGGGTGTGTGGGGTGGGGTATGGGGTTGTTGGCGTGGGGGGGAGGGGGTGTCATGCAGCCACAGAGGGAATTGCGGTGGAAGGCGAAGACCGAACCGAATCCCACACCACCAGAATGTTCTCCCCTGTACGATGCTGTTGCGGGCTGCCGGGGGAGAAGAGGGTTCGGGGTTGAAGGTTTTGGGTTTAAACACGAAAAATGTGTATATGTGAGTCGTGTCAAACCAGGTGTAAATGATAGCAGGGGTATGGCGGGCGAGGTGTTATTTACCTGGGTAGTTTTGAATTAGCGATGTGGAAAACAATTCAGGGGGAAGTGGCGTACGATCCACTCAGTCGCGTGAGAAAATGTGGTAACGAAGCCTATACGACCCGTAGCGACAGTCACGAGAGTTGATTCGTCAGATATTTCGTTACTGGCATGGGAAATTCCTAGGAGTGTCAGAGTGCGGTCTACTGCAGACGAATTTCCGGGGATACGTGGCGCGGACGACACGGGGAATAGATGCGTGCTGACGTGTCGTAATCTTCTAGAATCGCGTCGAAGGCGAAGAACAGTATCAGCATAACTACTCGCGACGCCGCCGCTGTCGCGACCACAATGCCACCAGCTCGGCGACGATCTGCGACGCTGCTATGCTTGCCTCGACCATCATCGCTGGACTTGGGTCGAGCCTGTCTCGAATCTACTGAGCTTGCATCCGCCTTCTGTTCAGCGCCACGTGGCGAATCCACGTCCGTTGCAACACCAGCCCTACGACGAGGTCCCATCTTCTCGCAATAGGAGTTCTTAGATAACGAATCCTAGTAAATTTCACTCCGAGGCGCCATCTTTCTCGACTAGGGTTTGACCACCACAATCACCTCGGTGACTCGTTCTAGTACTGATCATCACGATGCGGCATTTCCGTCCGTACTAAACGCTCCTCATGTGTGCTCGCAGATTACGACGCGATGCAATTAGCTTGAAAATGGCCACCAAAATCGCAGTGAGGTTGTGTACCTTTCGTGTCCAAAATGCGGGGTTCAGTGCGGTGATCGAATCGATCTACCCCCGATCGAGCACTTCCACCGCGTCCTGAGGTTAGATCAGAGGCAAACTTTCGAAGTTAGCACTGTTCGTCACCTTGCAGAACGTTACAGTACGGTGACATTGTAGTATTTGTAAGGATTTACAAATCCTTACTGAGGCACTCGTTAGCGAGGCCATCCCGAGGGTCACGCGACGAACCTGCCCTTCCTATTTCGTCGCACCGAACCACTCCCGAGTCGCCTCCGCACCAATCGCAACCATCACCGAGCCATCCTCGCCCAACCTCTCCGCCTAGCTAGGACTTCCCCTATTTAGGCCTCTTCACTTCCATTGTATCGTCATTCAGTAATTCAGTAATTTCCATTCACGTTATTCGTTTTACTGCGCACTCTGCAAGTTCATTCATAACAGTATTCGTCTGTCATCATGGTTGGCTGCATCAGGTCATGTGCGTACGTCATCAACTTTCCAAGGTTCAATTGGGTGCACAATGGTTGAACGGGGTGACGACAAAAAACAACGTCCTCCAGTCCAGAATTTCTCACAGCACTGCAGTAAAGATGCTTGAAGCGAAGTTGTAGTCAGGAAAGCGTTTTCGTGAGGTGCTTTGCACTGCAGAGCGGTCTATATGCGTACTAGAACAATTTGTTAGACTGACATATGTGAATTTCATCCCAATTAAACCAACCAAATTCCTGCCTTGCTTTCGTCCAAACGTGTTGAAAGTCAGGGATAAAACACAGGTGAACACTAACAATGATGGACAGTGGGCACATGATAACTTTTGAGTATGTACATGCTACCACATTTGCCTAATCTAGTATACTCATTACCTTGCTACCACAGACTTGTCCTCAAAAACCATACTGGAAAGGTCCGATCCTCACTCATCTGGTGTCCTACTCTAGAAGACCTGCAAGCAAACCAGCAGCAAGCACTGGAGTCCAACTCCATAAGCGCTAACAGTGCCATTAACCCCTCATGCTTATCCAAAAAGGTATGCGCAAGCATAGAAATCTCCTATGTGAAAGCAGCTGCATCAGCCTCAATACGCATTCCATCAGACTGCTCCAAAGCGTGACACCTCTGCTCCAGCACCAGTGTCTACCGACACCATCTCCCCAATTTGTATCCGCCAGAAGTGCCTCAGCATCTAGATCCCACAGTTCCGAACTCCACAGCCTTCGCCTGTGGTCCAGCCAGCTTCACTCCCGTTGCACTCCCATCATGCATGCTGCAGTCCCGCTCAGATTATTTGTACAAGTTGTAAGTCAGAGTACACCTTACGGATTTGCTGGAATAATGTACCAACTCAGACCCTGATGGCTCTCCGCATTGACTGCCTCAGGCGCTCGTTCTCCGCCATCAGCGCAGCAATCTCCCCCTCAATCTCCGCGTTACTCCTCTCAACCGTCTCGCACCGCTGCTCCAACTCCGACACATAATTCTTCTTCCGCTCCCGCGCCTGCTGCGCACTCACGCGGTTCCGCAGCAGCCGCTTCACGCGCCTCTCATCCCGCTGCTGCTTCGCCGCAGCCTTCCCTCCCTTAGCTTGCTGCCCGCCCGCAGGGGCGGCAATGGCGGGGATAACGGGAGCGGTAGCCGTAGGAACGAACACGTCCTCTTCAATCTTAAGGACAGGCGAAACCGGCAGGGTAGCGGCTGGAGCAGCAACGACATCCGCTTCAGCTGAGAACTTCACTGCAGGAGATTTGCCATCAGCAGCAGCAGCAGCAGCAGCAGCAGCAGCGGGAGCAGGAGGAGCAGATCTACCCAGCGGACTCTTCGCCGCAGCCTTCCCCGCGCCGCCTTTTCCCACCGCAGTGGGGGATGATGCGGGGACAGGCGAGGCGCACCGTGCGGGAGACGCGACGGCTTTGGGAGACGACGGGACGACGGCGGGGGAGAACGGCGGCAGGGGAGCAGCAGGAACGAACGGCGAAGGGGGAGCGGTGTTCACTGAGTCAGCAGCCTCGGGATTGACGTGAGTCCAGGGGAGCATGGATGGTGAGGATGGGAAAGGGTGGCCGTAACCAGATACGGACGGCATGGCGGAAGATGCGGCGGAAGGGAGCTGCGAGGAGGCATGGTGTGCGTGTCGTCGACGCTTTCCGCGCACGGAATCCGCGACAAGGCGACGCTGACGCGCGATGGCTGCAGGGTCGGTGGGCATTGCGCTAGTTCCAGGCATGGCACTGCAGAAGAGTAGAAAAAGAAAGCGATCGTTAGTTTCCATTCACCGCTTTAGAGTTCTTTTCGAGAAGTATAGATGTTCATGGCTCATGACTTCCCGTCGGCCGCACAAAGAAACCTCTGACATCGCTTGAGCAAATTCGTAAATGAACGATTACGCGACGCATACTTACTGTTGAGGAGGCATGAAGGGCGAGGAATAAGGAGTCATCCACGGGTTGTACGCGAAGGGAGGGTACGGCATGCCGTAGTAGGGAACCGGCATGGTGGGCATTCCCGGATAGTAGAGCGGCATGTGCGGCGGATACATCGGATGATTCATCGGGTGATGCGCGGGGTACTCCGGGAACTCCATCTTGGGATGAGACGGAGCATCCGCGGTAGAATGCTCTGCGTTACAGAAAAAACAAAGAATAAAGGAAAATAACGAGTTAGCCACAAATCTTCGTGGTAACAGGAAACGGAAACAGGAGCAAGAACGTATGGGAGACACGAGAGTGAAAATGAGAATGAGTAGGATAGCTATTCTTCACTGCGTACCTGCAAGGCCCGCTCCTCTGAGCATGAGATTGTAACGAAGGTCCTGCTGGTTCATCGCATCCACGTCATCCATCCCGAACGACAGATTGAAATCCTCCGAGGCGAAGCCGTCCGGCGAGCTGAACGCGTCAGGCGATCCGAACGCTCCGTCTGCGACTGAGTCGGCGACGTCGTTCGTCGTCGTCGTCGTCGCAGCCGGCTTCTGAGCGCACGGGACTAGCTGCGGCTCGCACGAGCCTTCCGGAAACGACGCAGCGAGATTCACGGCACCGAACGGGTTTGAGTCGAACATGCCGAAATTGTCATGGCTACCTCCCTCCCCAACCGACTCCTCGGGAACATCATCCGGCAGAAGCCTGTCCGCGTTAGGGAGCGCTTTGTTATCCTTCTCGGCAATCCCCCCCATTTCGCCCATGTACGTCATTAGTTGGTCGAGCCCTCGATCAAAGAGGTCTCCGGTCTGACCGAAGGAGAACATGGTGTCGTCTGCTGCGTCGAACGCGTCTGCGCAAGGCCTCTTGGAACCGAGCTTCTGGTTCGTCTCCATGGGAAAGCCGGAGCTCGGACAGAGAGAAATCTCTCCGGGAATCATCTTGCACAACCTCTTGTAGGTAGAGCGGAGAGTGCAAGTTAGTACTCAAAATGCAGTCAGGAACCCTGTTAGTCAGCTGGGCTAGCTTCGGTGGCTAGCAGTTTCTGAAGCAACCTGGAGTGCTGACTTGGAAGGCAGGAACAGATACTTGACTCTGCTCGTGAACTGAAGTGCAGTAAATACTTGCGAAATTACTTGCTGGGACGTTGGAGCGGAAGACCGACTTTCTGCGGAAACAGCCGCGGTCTCCTCCGGCCCTGTCCCGTTTCGCTGGGAGAGGCGGAAATTGCAATTGCAGTTGCTTGCAATGGCAGCGGGTGCGGGGGGAGAAAATGGCTGCTGAATCTGTGGCCAAATGCAGGTCTGAGGTGACAAGGACGAGCGCCAACCACTTACTCACCTCAGCTTTACTCACTTCACCTCACTGTTCCGGTAACACGAGCGCCAACCAATCAAGGCACACCGGGCCGGTCTATTGGCTTCTGATAAATTTTCAGCTTGGGGGATGGCACAAAAACATAACTCAAGCTTGAGAGGGATTCAAAACGTTGCAGCGTGGTATGCAAGACATTCTGAGAGTAGTTGAAGGATTTTTTGGGGGTGTGGGAAGATCTTTGGATCCGGGGGTAGGGTTGTTTGCGGGGATCATTTCGGAACTGAAGGGAGAGCAGCGTGCGGCGTTCGAGGTCTCTGGGAACTTCGGTTCGGCGCTGAGCGCGCCAGCCTCGGGTGTAGGGGAAATGCACGTGGATGAGTGATTGATTGGCTTGGCTCGTTCAGGGGAAGGGAGTGAAGGGAGCGGGGGTAGGCGTGAGGGAAGGTGGGTGGACTAGAATTTGTTCGGTTCGGAAATTGAAAAGGGGGCGAATTTGTTCCTTGTGCGAAACTTGTGACAGACTGGCCACAGGTGGCCTCCTGTCAGAATTTATTCGCCTCGTGTGCACAAGCAGGCTGGCGTGGGAGTTCGCGAACGCGAAAATGTCGGGGCGTCCTTTCGCCGCGTCCGCCAACCTGTACGTACGCAGGCCGTGAATGAGGAAGAATTCTGACCACGAAATCAGCCGAGTCCCTCGCTTACGTACTTTCAGCAGCTTCGACGAAAGATTCACTTCGCTTGAGGGAAAAGAAACGATTGCTCATATCTTCTATCCTCGATTACACCTCTTGCTAAGTACACCCTGTTTCGCGCTAGCAGAGCATCTGGTTGCAGAACATGCACAGGTTGTAGAACGTCACCACGTTTGAAATGGTCTTATCACCGACGGTACAAGCACATTCACAAGAAAGCGGTTAGCTAGGATGCTGCATGGTAAAGAACATTAACCAAGCGTTTCAAAGCGGTTGAAAAGGGTATACAGCGATAAAGAAAAATTTTGCCCCAGTACCACTCCGTCAGCTGGTGCGGCTTTCCCCGCAGGTTTCAGCCATACGGTTTATGGCACCTGACCGCACTGTAGCAGCGAATCGCGCAAGGTGAGAGGGTCGAGAAACAGGGTGTATAGTGTAGCAAGAGGTGTCATCAACGACTTTTCGTGGGTGAGCACCGCACCTCATTGGCCGAGCCATTCGAGCCTTGGATCTAGAACTTGAAGCCACCTGGCGCTGAGTTGGATAATGTCAAGGACAGTGGCGCGGCAGATTTCCTCGAGGAAAGACCCAAATGATTCGTTGAATGACCACTGGCGATGAGTGAATCTAACCATATTCTGTCCAGCGTGAATCTTCCACCGCATTGAAACGGCACAGTTGGTCCATGTCACGATCAAAATCCTTCACTGCGCCCACTAGTCCTCGGAAGGATTCAGTTCGATGGAGTCGTTAGTGTACGCTATTGAAGACAAAAAGTGCTTGATGGTAATGACAATATCAATTAGGTATTTCCTTTCGTCTGTCAATGATCAGTGTAGTTTCTCCTGTCTTCCTTCAAAGGTTCAGATTAAGACATAAAAAATGGTAATCCATAAGCAATGGTAAAAAACTTACGCTAATCTACAGTGCAATAGCCTTCTTGTGCTCTACCCCCCGTCACCTACCCTACCACACCCTGCTCCAGCCCTAACGCAACTACCGGTAACTGATATCGCAGGTCAGTTGTCAGACACCTAATCAAATCAAACTACTCAACTACTCCCTGGGCTCTAACATCAAGATCAACGGCTGCGATTGGCTTGAGCGAAAAGACCAGCCCCTGGAGCCATTTCCCAACACATGAGAGCGCACAGAAGGGAGGCAGTGACAGCATAGGCACACTGCTGCCCACCATAACACAGCGAAGAGCAGCATACCGCAACGGGCAGACAGCAGCTGCAAGGTCAAGACACCACTGCGGCTTTCCCAGCACATGGGAGGGAGTACACACGAGGCAGTCACAACACAGCCCACCCACCAAAGCACAGCAAGAGCAGACACACAGCAGACAGAAGCACACCAGAGCACCCGCAGCAGCCCACCAAAGCAAATCGAGCGGAAATAGCGCCAGACGTTTAAATGCAGCGCTCACAGCGCACGCAGAGCAGCGCAACAGTGTCACCCGTACGGCGTGGTGGCTCATAGTATCACCTCCCATCCGCCTCCCATCCGCCTGTTTTGGGTCGACTCAAAGCACAAGCAGCAGCCCACCGAAGCAAATAGCACCCACAACCCACGCAGAACAGCGCAACAGCGTTAGTCATACTCCAGCGATTCCATGGTGGTACAGTGCCAGCCATACCATGGTGGTACAGTCCCAGCCATACCATGGTGGTACAGTGCCAGCCATACCATGGTGGTACAGTGCCAGCCATACCATGGTGGTACAGTGCCAGCCATACCATGGTGGAATTGCCTCCCATCCGACTGAAGCAGTCAGCACGGAACTTGCTGAGCGCACAGAGCATGGCTTTACGTGGACCATTCCAGTGGAACCAGAGGAGCAGACAGGGCATGCTGTGCTGCCTGCGTTGTGAGCGCTGCTGCCAAACAACATACACACCGGGAGAAACTGTTGGCGGGTTCAGCAGCATGCTTATAACGAGATTGCACTGTAGCTGTTCCCGTTACAAGCACTGTAACGCTGGAGTGAGCCAACGGTTTCACACAAACTCACTCGGCGGTGCTGCTGGAACGGTTATGCATTAATGATCAACCCACAGCCGTGATGAGCCAATGGCTGTGATCAACCCACAGCCGTGATGAGCCAATGGCTGTGATCAGCCCACAGCCGTGATGAGCCAATGGCTGTGATCAGCCCACAGCCGTGATGAGCCAATGGCTGTGATCAGCCCACAGCCGTGATGAGCCAATGGCTGTGATCAGCCGCCCCCAACTGCCAGCCCAGCTGCCACCCCAGCTGCACCTGCTGAAACCCATAAAAAGCCCCCTCTTGCTGAAACTGCAGCAGCTGCTGCTATTGCTGCAGCTTTTGCTGCTGCTGCTGCTGCTGCTGCTGCTGTTGCCCCTGCACCTGCCATCCTTGCACCTGCCATCCTTGCACCTGCTGCTGCAACTCCTGCTGCTGCACCTGCGGACCCCTCCTTGATGTCACAGCAGCCCCTCCTGCACCCTATGCTGCACCTGCTGCCCTCCATAGAGTCACATGAGGCAACAGCAACGGCTGAGAGAGCAGCACCACTTGCAACTGGCATAATTAGCAGCACCACCAGCAGCACCAGCAGCGAGCTCAGCACTTGTACGCCATACACAGCCCCACCCACAAGTACCACCACCACCACCGCCAGCAGCAACAGCAGCACCACCACCACCCCCGCCAGCAGCAACAGCAGCACCACCACCACCACCGCCAACAGCAACAGCAGCACCACCACCACCACCGCCAACAGCAACAGCAGCACCACACCAGCAGCAACAGCGGCAGTACCACCACCACACCAGCAGCACCAGCAGCGAGCTCAGCACTTGTACGCCATACACAGCCCCACCAGCAGCACCGCCAGCAGCACCAGCAGCACCGCCAGCAGCAGAAGCAGTGTGCTCAGCACTTGTCCGCCATACACAGTCCCTTCAGTGATTCACTGCTGCCCCTCCTAGACCCACTCTCACTGCAATCCGACTCACTCGCCACAGCCCTCAACACAGCCCCACCCGCAACTACCACCACCACCGCCAGCAGCAACAGCACCACCACCACACCAGCAGCAACAGCAGCAGCACCATCACACCAGCAGCGACAGCAGCAGCACCACCACACCAGCAGCAACAGAGGTGAGCTCAGCACTTGTATGCCATGCACAGCCCCTCCAGTGATTCACTGCTGCCCCTTCTAGACCCACTCTCACTGCAGTCCGACTCACTCGCCACAGCCCTGAACACAGCCTCCCCTGCTGACACTACAGGCAGCAGCAGCATCGGCACCACACCACCAGTGGGCTCAGCACTTGTCCGCCATACACAACCCCTCAAGTGACCCACTGCTGCCTCTTCTAGAACCACTCTCACTGCAGTCCGACTCACTCGCCACTGCCCTGAACACCGCCGCACCAGCTGAGGCAGCAGCAACAGGAGCAGCAACTCCAGCACCAGCAGCTTCAGAAACAAAAGAAGCGACTGCAGGCGCAGCAGCGGCAGCACCAACAGCAGCAGCAGCAGCAGCAGTGATGGCAGCAGAAGCAGCAGTGGCATTGAGGGTAGAGCGGTTGTATTTGAGGTGCGCCTGCACGAGGTGACCAGAGGCGAGGGCGGAGCAGAGGGAGAGCTCCCCCGCCAGCACTGCTGCCGCCACCACCCGCGCCAGCTGCTGCGCATTCGCTCCTGGCTCCGTCTTGTGCGCGCCCTTCACTCCCAGCAGGGCCAGCGCTGCTGCCTGTGGGAGCGTGGGGAAGCGTGGGGGAGCGTGGGGGGACGAGAGGGTTAGGAAACTGCTGCGTCAGCTGCTGCGCGTTTGCCCCTGGTTGTGTCTTGCGCGCCCTTCACGCGCAGCAGGGCCAGTGCTGCCGCGTGGAGGAGGGGGAGGGGGAGCGGAGGGGAGAAGAGAAGGGGTTAAAGGCACTGCTGCCGCCACCACGCGCACCAGCTGCTGCGCATTCAGCCCTGGCTCTGTCTTGTGCGCGCCCTTCACGCCCAGCATGGCCAGCGCTGCTGCCTGTGGGAGGGGGAAGTAGAGCAGCGGGGAGGAGAATAAGAGTTTAGGCAACTGCTGCCGCCACCACCCGCGCCAGCTTTCCACGTTCTGTGCGGGGTCCTGCCCCGCGGCCAGGAACACACCATGGGCACAAACACCACTGGCACAAACACTATTGCCCTCTGCCCTGAGTCAAGACAAACACTATTGCCCTCTGCCCTGAGTCAAGACAAACATTATTGCCCTCTGCCCTGAGTCAAGACAAACACTATTGCCCTCTGCCCTGAGTCAAGACAAACACTATTGCCCTCTGCCCTGAGTCAAGACAAACACTATTGACTCAGAAGTCAGCTCGGTCCTTCCACGTCGCCAGGAACACACCATTGGCACAAACAACACTGACCTCTGCCACCTACCCACCACCTCCCACCCTTACGCTCATCTGCGGTGCGAGGAAGGTTTCCTCCGCCAACCGTGCCGACTTCAATCGCAGGCAGGGTCACCGACGCATGGAGATCTTCGCCGCCATTCGCAGCCTCAAGCAGCGTGAGGCACTGCGAGCTCTCCACGATCTGCGCGGGGTCCTGCCCTCAGCTCTCTACCCAACCCCGCTCTCTTCCCTGAGGTGCAAGGAAGCTTCCTTGCTTTCTCACCTGCGGTGCGAGGAACGTTCCTCCGCCAACAGTGCCCACTTCAATCGCAGGGAGGGTCACAGACACGTGCAGATCGGCACCGTTATTGACGGCCTCAAGCAGCGTGAGGCACTGCGAGCTCTCCACGTTCTGCGCGGGGTCCTGCCCCGTTGCAAGAAACACCGCCGTGACAATGTTGCTCGCGTGCGCGTTGCTGCCGCCCACCGCGCCCGCCATAGCCGACCCCACGAGGTTCTTGACGGTGTTGAGCTCCACCAGGGCGGCAACCGTTGTCTTTAGCACAGTTTCGACCTGGGAGGGGAAACAGAAGGGGAGACGGTACCGGGAATACGGAGGGGTGCAGAGTGGTCGAGTCAATGGGGACCCCACCAGGTTCTTCACCATGTTGAGCTCCACCAGGGCGGCAACCGTTGTCTTTAGCACCGATTCCACCCGGAAGAGCAGGGGAAATTAAAGGGGAAGGGGAAGACGGACAGGGACAGAGGAGGACGGGGGATGGGGAAGACGGACAGGGACAGAGGAGGACGGGGGATGGGGAAGACGGACAGGGTACAGAGGAGGACGGGGGATGGGGATGGGGATGGCGGTGGGTACAAAGGGCAGGGATAAAGCGGGACGGGAACGTACCACGCGGCCAGGGATGAACAGGGGGGTCAGGAGGGCAATGGGGTGAGGAGGGCAATGGGGTGGGGAGGACAGGAGGTTCTGGAGGGCATGGGGAATGGAAATGTAGACCGGAGGGGAAGGCGGGGGGAGACGAACCACGTGGCCAGGAATGGTAGCTTGGGGGAGTGGAGAAGGAAGATTGGGAAAATGGGGGAAGAGGGGAACGGGGTAAGGGGGAAAAAAGGCGGGGAGGAACGTACCACGTGGCCGGGAATGGTGGCTTCACAGACGACAGATTTCCCGCGCCCGTGGATCCAGTTGACGGCAGTCGCCTTCTTATCCGCGCAGTAATTCCCAGACATGCTCACAACCCGCATATCCGGAAACGCGTCCCGCAGCGCGCCGAGTACGCTCGCGGTGCCCTTGGAAACCATGTTCATGCCCATCGCGTCGCCCGTGCCGCACTCCACGCGGATAAACGCGTTCCGCCCCGCGACCGCCACGCGGAGGCTCCGCAGCCGCGCGAACCGGCTGCTGCTGTTGAAGGCCTCCGCGAGCTCCGCCCAATTGCGCGGACTTTCCGCGTACGCCTTCAGCTCCGCCGCGCGGACCGCGGACGGGAGCTGCACGGCGGGCGCGCGCGTCATGCCGTCGCGGAGCACGACGCTGCGCGCGCCGCCGGCGGCGCAGATGGCTTTGCAGCCGCGGTTCGTGCTAGCGACAAGGCACCCCTCTGTCGTAGCCATCGGTACGAAGAATTCCGTTCCGTCCAAAAGTAACGGTCCCGCTACACCAATGGGGATCGTCACGTGGCCAATCACCATCTCGCAGCACGCGCCGCGGATCACGTCGTAGTCGTAATTCTCCAGCGGGAGCCCGGCTAAGGACCGCCCGGTTTTAATCTCCACGGCGCGCCGCCGGACCGCGGCGGCGCGGAGGGTGTTGCCGAGTTGCGCCTCGAGGGAGTGCATGGGAATGGCGCCGCGCGCGACGGCGCGCGCGATGTCGTCGTCCGGGAGGTCTTGCAGCGGGACGTCTTGTAACGAGGATGCACTGTCGGACTTGAAGACGAAGGTTTTCAAGCTTTCAGTGCTGGTGTTCGGCGTGATTGTACCAGAGGAGACTGTAACGGAAGGGACAGCTGCAGCGGATGGAATCGGAACCGCTTTAGAAGCACACTCAGGCTCGAAGGACGAAGGTTGGAGATAGGACTTAAAAGAAGGAGAGCGGTGAGCAAGATCCTTAGCCTGCTCTTGGTGCTGGCAGTTACGAAGCTTCCTAGACGATTCTTCCTCTTCCTCCTCCTCCTCCCGCTCCTCCTCCTCCTCCTCTTCCTCTTCCTCTTCGTCCGATAGAACGCTCAGCCCCACCGTCGCTTGCACATACCCGATCCCCAGGAAACCGATTAAGTAGATAAACGAACAGATCGCGAGCGTGACGGCCGCTAAGTCCCGCCATAATAAAATATGGAGCTTTTCCGAGGAGTCCAGCTTCTCGCGCCACCGGCGGAGTAGGTAACAGCTAGAAAGAACGAACGCTATAACGAAGATGACATTAGTGAGCCAGAGCGGGAGCGGAAGGCCGTCGGAAGCTAGAGTTCTGGGCCGCTTTTTCCGGCTGTGAGTTTCGCCCTGATCCGATACAGGCCGACCCGTTAAGAGCTCGTCTCGGATGCGATCGTAATGTGCGATCATGTCTCCTGGCTGTCTGTGCCTGTGGCCTCTATATGTTAGGTAGGGATGTCCTGGCGGCTCCATGATTAGGGTTAGGTGCTGTACGCAGTAAGGTCGGCTTGAAGTAGACTGATCAGAAACGGAAACGAATGTCCTAAAACTCGCGAACTGGGTCGAAGGTTCTAACTAAAAGGCCGGCTATGGCGGTTTAAGAAAGAAGACGGCCCTATTGATCGCGTGTAAGGTGGAAAGACGATTACGAAGTAACGAGTGCCAGCTGGGCAAAAAATCGGCTGTTAGCAGCAGGTCGCGATCAAGTTGTTCTCGCTTGCATAAGGTGTCAATCCGAGCTAACGGCGCCCTTATCAATCGCATCGCATGAGCGTTGGACCATTCTTGGCTAACAAACACAGAACGGTGCACTACTGGACAGATATCGGGTATTCGATTGGACAAAAACTGGTGATCAGGAACCGAGTAACGTGACGTGCGTGCGCCTCGTAAAAGTGCGCTGCTGCTGCTTGATTTATCCTCCCTGCTATTCTAGGTCTGCTTCATACATCTGCTGTGCTCCCATCGTTGCTAGTCCACATTCTAGAATGCCGTTAGGTATGCTTGGCGGGCGTGTCATACGGGGGGGGGGGCTGGTCGATCAAACGGCAGGCAGGAGGAAAAAGTGTTTCTGGTGAAGTGTGCTACACTGCCCGCCCTTGATTCTAACGAGGGTTACATGCGCTGGGTTGCCGCTAGTGAAGGTTGGAGGTCACGCGTGTTTACAACTAGGGATTCGTGTGGCTACCACTCTTGTGCACATAAAATCGAGGGTGAGTGTGGGGCGCAGAAGTTCTGTAGCGGGCAGACGCTAAACATGTTCTTTTGCTAAGTGAGGAAGACATGTGAAGCGCGAAGATCGACGGCGAGAAATGCTCAGGGGTGTCAATGGGGTGCTCTCAACAGCACGTCGCTGGTTTTCTGGGGACCCCTTGAGGAACCGTTGAATCTCGATTTCCAAACAGCCACGTCCTTCCACATCCCGCGAATATGTAGATACTCGCATGGCGAGAAAGGTTTCATGACCCACCTTGGATCGCGGAAGGCCAAGTTTGGAGATGTCACGTGGCGCTAGGTGAAACGGTGAAGCAATTCAACTAAACCAGCGCAGCAAAGTTTCCCGCCAGCTCGATACAAGGCCGTTTCGAGAAGCCCTACTCCCACCAGTGAAGCGGACCTACACTTGAGCAGCCTGGATACAAGAATACATTCCTACAACTGGTAGTTTTTCACCCAATTACGTTCAAGTGGTGTTCAAGTGGTTGTACATTGCAATGGAGTTGGCACTCTAGAGCAAGAACACATGCGGCAGAATGAAGATGATGGGAAAGATCGGGGCAAGGATGCGTTAGAGGTGCATGCCAACAAGCATGTGGGCATTGCCTGGAATTGGAATCAACAGAATAGCATTGCTACCGTATGTTGGATACAAGAACCGTCCAACTTTATCATCTTCACCACCACGCTGAAAACATCAAGCCATACATGGTACGAATGCAAGGGAGCTCTAATGATCGTTTTCTGTCATAGACCTTTTCACACCCCGTGATCTCCAATGACCGGAGCAGCTTAAGGCCTGAAATGAATATTTTAAAAAATGTTACGCTTTTCAAAATTTCGTATTTTGAAAGCGAAACAGTCTGTAATGTAGGAATGGGCAGCGACGAACCGCGCTAGACGCCCGTTTTGGAGTACAAAACGTGGGCTGGAGGTCATTTCCCTCCACCCACGTCTCTCATTTTCAAACGGTTTAGCCGATTTTCGTCTCCCACACTCAAGCTGGAGAGGACCAAGTCTCTTCCTCGCTTTCAATCCCCATCGACTTTACTCTCTGACATTTTCGCGCACAACGCAACAACTATGGCACTTAATGGCGGGGAGTCTAATACCACTACGGCCCCCGTTCGACCCGAGTCCGCAAGAAACGCACGCGAAATCGCGGGCGATCGCCAAAACAAGCGCCGGACAAAAGACGGGGAAATTTCCGCGACTGGCGTCGACGTCCTGCTGAGCGCGACCGAGGCACACGCTGCTGGTGTCGAGGCACACGCTGCTGGTGTCGAGGCACACGCTGCTGGTGTCGAGGCACACGCCCCTCGTGTGCCTCGAGCCCCTGTGGCCCCTGACGCGCCGGCCACAACAGAAGGCGCCAAATCAGCACCAACCAGCGCGACTGGCACCCCGCGTCCGCGCCAGCGACGCAGGCCTGTGGGCCCTGGCGCGCCTGTGGGCCCTGACGCGCCTGTAGGGCCTCACGCGCAAGTGGCGACGGACGCGCAAGTGGCGCCATCATTCACTGCAGCCCAACTGCAGCAGCTGCTAACCCTGTTACACCAGCAGACCCCTGCTGTTACTCAAGAAATCGCTACACCAAACGCAACTTCGATCTTTGCTAAAAACGAAAAGGCGAAAACGGAGTCCATGAAGCGCGCTTACACGACAAAAACCGGAAGGGGCGAAGAGACACGCGACGTTGCGACCCCAGTCATGAACAACCCTACCGACAGCGACAATGAAAAAGACGAAGACGGTGAGGCTCATGCTATAAATGTCGCTTCTGCATCCGATGAGCAACTCCCTTCGCTCCCTTCTCCCAACCCCACCCTCACCGCCGCCTCGTTCAAGAACGCCGCCGTGCGCGAGCAAGCCGAGGTCCTGGAACACCTGCGGGTGTACTTGAAGCATGCAGAGCACAAGGTGCGGCACAACGAGCCGGCAAGCGCCCTCGAATTCCTTGGCGAAGCCTTCACGCTCATCACCAACTGCTTCAAGTTACTCCACGTCGCCGACTACACCAACTTCCGCACCGCAAACAGGTTCAACCTCTATGAAGACTGTCAAACTTATATGCTATAGTCTGTGTAGGCTGTAGTGGGGTAGACTATATGGGGTACAACATTTTTAGGTTTTCCTACTTGTACCCACCTGCTTGCTAGTTCATTCATTCCTCATTTGTTCACATGGTATAGAGCAGGTTCCCTAGTGGGAACGCTTCCTTGGGCCCACCACTGATTTTTTTTTCTGACCGGAGCGCCAATCGCTCCTGCCCGAGGCGCGCCTTGTGGGCCGCCCTTCTGTAGAGGTCTCTTAGAGGCCCCTCCCACGGCCCCTCGTGCCGCCCCTAGCGGCCCCGTCGCCACCCTTCCAGGCCCCTCGCGCCCCCTAGCGGCCCCGTCGCCGCCCCTACGCTACCCGGTCGCCGCCCCTAGCGGCCCCGTCGCCGCCCCTAGCGGCCCCTTCGCCGCCTCTCTCCCTACGCGGCCCCGTCGGCGCCCCTACGCGGGCCCCGTCGCCGCCCCTACGCAGCCCCGTCGCCGCCCCTAGCGGCCCCGTCGCCGCCCCTAAGCGGCCCCGTCGCCGCCCCTAGCGGCCCCGTCGCCGCCTCTCTCCCTACGCGGCCCCGTCGCCGCCCCTACGCGGCCCCGTCGCCGCCCCTAGCGGCCCCGTCGCCGCCCCTAAGCGGCCCCGTCGCCGCCCCTAGCGGCCCCGTCGCCGCCTTCCTACCTACGCGGCCCCGTCGCCGCCCCTAGCGGCCCCGTCGCCGCTCCCCTCCCTACGCGGCCCTGTCGCCGCCCCTACGCGGCCCCGTCACCGCTCCCCTCCCTACGCGGCCCTGTCCCCGCTCTTCGCGGCCCCATCGCCGCCTCTACCGCTGAGCCGCCCAGCAGCTGAGCAGCCGAGTCACCACGCCGCCAGCCGCCCAGCAGCCGAGCCGCCCAACAGCCGAGCCGCCGAGCCGCCCAGCAGCCGAGCCGCTGAGCCGCCGAGCCACCCAGCAACCGAGCCGCCCAACAGCCGAGCCACCGAGCCGCCCAGCAGCCGAGCCGCCGAGCCGCCGTGCCGCCCAGCAGCCGTGCCGCCCAGCAGCCGAGCCGCCCTGCCGTCGAGCCGCTACTGTTCCTACCGGCGCGCCCCGGCCCTACTTACTCGGACTGGTGAGATCACTCCCTGCTAGGCCACTACAGTCATGGCTACCCCCAGTGTGAGGATCAGGAACTCGAGAGTCTTGCCACCGCGGCGCCGATGAGAGAGAACGCGCTCGATCTCGTACTCGGGTTCATCCTGTATGAGAACAGGTGGTGGTGGCGGTAGTTGCCGTCCCTAGAACTGTTGGTTGAGGTCCTTGTAGGGCTTCAGTAGCTGGACATGGAAAGCGTTGTGAAGCTTCCATGTATCTGGTAAGCGCAAGCGGAATGTAACTGGTGTCACCTGTGCCTCAACGAGAAAAGGACCATAGAAGCGAGGCCGGAGTTTGGATGGGAGGTGAGACAGGTTCAAGTTGCGCGTGTCAAGAAGCACCTGATCTCCGACTGCTACTAAGTGATCACGTCGCTGACGATCGGCATACTGCTTATGGGAGTTCTGCATCGTGGTGAGACGTCGCTGAGTCTTCTCTTATAACTGCTGCATGGTGGTGACGAAGTCATGTGCGGCTTGGACATATGCCGGTGTGGTTGGCTGCTGTGGTGTGAGTGGTTCCCGTCCGTAACACAGGAAGAAAGGAGTTTTTCCTGTGGCCGCATGTGATGCGTTGTTGTAAGCGAACTCTAGGGTCGGTAACTGTGTGTCCCAGTGGCTGACGTCGTCCTTGCAAGCTATGCGCAGTAACTGTTCAACCACTTGATTGAGTCGCTCTGTCTGTCCGTCAGCCTGGGGGTGGTAAGCTGAAGACATTGCAAGCTTTGTCCCCAACAGTCCCATGAGCTCCTTCCAGAACTTACTCGTGAATTTGGG